TATATATATATACACATGCACAAATACATACATAAATAAATACTCAATATTACACCAGTACACGAGTGTGTTTCTCCGTACTCATTCACCTGTGAACCCATGTGCGTTACTGTGACATTTTACTCACGCTCATGTGCATGACACATCTCTCCATATTCCCATAACTAATATATATGTCTTGCATCTGTTGATAATGATACATCTACCTGTCCGTTTTATCTTTGTTCGCTGGCATCTCTCTACCTTCGATCGTCTTAATGTCTGTCTATCTCAAAGCATGATCTCATCGTCGGTGTCGCAGCCAATCCACGTAAGTCCGATTCGTTACTTTTTACGCCAGAGACAAAGAAAACAACTCAATAATAGTGCGGTCAAAATGGCTAAAACAGCACCTGGATATGGGTGGCTGGTACCTCTATAAATAAATTATTGATGGTCAAGTGTGGTCAAAAATCCGTGGCGAAACTTATCCTCAAATATTTCTTTAACGGGTGAATCAATGTAATCCATACTTTGCACAGCAGTTTGTATCATTAACTAAATCATATTTTTCCAAAACAGTTGAGGCTAGATTAAAAAACTTTTCTTCATAAATGTATATACAATACTTGAAATGTCTGTCACACGTAAAATGGGGTTGTTCCCAGCACTTCCCGCTTCTCTCACACATTTTGTAGACTCACAATATGGCTTACATCACAGCTTATCAACTCAAATTTTTAGTGGCAAAACTTGTTAAAAGAAGTCAATTTTATATTGGACACATTTTTGCATTGATGGTTCTCAAAACATGCGTTCAATAAGCATAATGTCCCGATTAAAAAAACCTGACGGACTTGCCATTAAAAGCAATATTGCCCCCAGATGTAAAGATTTGAACATGAGTAGAAACCACCTACTTGAATTTTTAAATTTATACTTATTAAGGAATTTTCTAGAATACAGCTAGCAGGTGTTTACAAAGATGTTGATCCTTTAAGGCAAATTGATACAAGTAACTGTGCAAAAATTGGAGAACCTATGTTAGATAGTTTAGGAGATATTTGAGAAAACGTTGTGACAAGAATTTTTCACCGCGATAATAGTTTTTGTTGTGTGGCTCCTATCAGGAATGATGAATTGCGAGCCTTGATCATAACATTAAATTACATTTTGGTAACATTGAAAAATGCATTTTTGATAGGTAGAGCTTTCGGAGGGAGTAAAAATCTAAAATTCTCAAAAATTTGAACATACGTGGATTGTTTGTGACAGCGACAATATGAGCATCACGCAAATACTGAATTACAAAACTGGCATTCGCTTACTCACACACACATGTGCCAAAACACATGCGCACGTGCGTACTTCTAGAAAACATGATGACATTGATAATGAATGAGATGTAGGCTATACGACGTAACCATACAAAAACTGAGAAGTAATATATATGCGTCCACTCACAGATTATATTCCTACCAGTTGATCTATCGCGGGACCTCGTTTGTCTAAAAGAAAGCACAACCTAGAGAAGAAGAAGAAGAAGAAGAAGAAGAAGAAGAAGAAGAAGAAGAAGAAGAAG